TTTTTTTTCCTGATTATTTCTCCTTACTTTCTGATATTAAAACTTGTGCTCTCTTATTTCAAGCAGGTGTTCGTTTGTGTATCTTCAGGGATTGGTCATAATTTTTTGAGCCTTCAAGCTTCTTCCTTGTATCAGTCAGTATCAAGGGGAGAAAGATGCCTACAGTGACTAAGAACGTTGCTTGAAATGATGAAGTAGATCCATTCATATTAAAGTACAAAAGGGTTGAAAACCTTTAAGTCATGAAAAATTGGGGCTGTGCATCCATAAGTTCCTGGAACACTACTCTTTGCTAAAGGGAATCAATGTAAAACATTGGAAACATCTCTAACATTCAGAACAAGTGCATGTCTCCACAAATATTTTTACATACATCTTTTTGTGTGCTTTGTACTGAAAATAAGCTTCAGGAGCATGAAATAACAATAATTCCTGGAACTACTAAACGGTGCCTGATTTTTTCTCATTCTATTTTTCCTTTTTTTTTTTTTCTCTTTTGCAAAACACTTTGTTTTCATTGAGAAATTAATTTAAATTGCTTTAACCTTATAAGCCCTCTATAAACATTTCTATAATCAGGCCACATATTTAGTAGACGTTCATTTCTAATATTTATATATTTTTTTTCAGTACCTGGTAAAGCTTACACCAAAAATTAGTATAAAAGAAGGTTTTAAATGCACATTCAGGGCACTCTGAAGGTCTTTCTCACATGGAGCCTGAGAAGATGAGCTATGTGGGGCAGCTACGCTTCTTACAAAGCAGTACAGTTATTGATTGCACATCTGAAATATTTGTGCTGTTTTTACTGGAGAAGAAACAGCTCTTTTGGATAGTCCACACAATACAATGTTGTGCTGGACAGAGATACCTAACCTAGCTCTGAAAAAGATGTGGTATAGAAAACCAGCTTGTTGCACTGTGCTGTTTCACTCAGTTTAATTAGCACTACAATGCATCATGAAAAAATATCCTCACAGCCCACCTATAACTAATATAAACATGAAGTATCATAAAAACAAGGATATTAAT